GGCTCTCTGAAAGAATGCAAATGACCAGCGGTCTGCAAGGAATATAAATCCTTCCATTCCCCACCACTCTTGGATGAGAAGTGAAACGTCTTCAAAGAAAAACAGGAAAGTCCAGTTGCTTCCTGAAAAAGCACCTTTGGGACAATAATAACCCTAGGCAGTGAAACCAGGAAACTATCTCTGCTGGAGATTTACAGAACGGAGGCACCAGTCGTTGCAAATGATCTAGAGATACAGAATGACTCTGTTGGGAGGCAGTTTCAATGTTAGAACTGTAATTCCCCAAGCATAAACACAGGTCGATGGGAGGATCACCAATCCTACGTAGCTCAACGAATCATTCAGGAGGATATCAAAACACTTGCAAAAATTCCAAAGTTTTGTTGCAATGCAAACCAGCCCTTTTTTTCAAGATAATGTCGTTCTCGAAAACTGAAGAGATGTTCCAGATTTGAAGTGAATTACTAGTCAATTGAAATTTAATAAGATGATATGATTTTTTTGACGATATGGACGTTATTAGTCATGATAATTAACTGGAGACTTGAATTCTGTTTAATGGAATGACATGATTTAAGGTATGATATTATTTTTTTAGCTTGAAGAGATTGATTAATTGATGGATTTGATAGGTACAGGATAGATGAATATCTTACTCCAAATAAGGGAGATTAATGGAAGAAGAAGTAAATAAGATTTTGATAAAATTAAGAAAGTAGAACATATGTGGAAGGGAGATCTGAATTGAAAATGTTTTTATTTAAAGTTAATTTGATCATGGTATTGTAAATTAATGAAGCTTAAAAACAGGTTCAGATTGAATAAATTTAAGCTAGCATTGGATATTTTAAATATACTATGCTATTTGAGAGAAAAAGAGAGGGAATACTTGATGCATTGATTGTATTATGTATATATGTCTTGTTTTAGGATGTTTGGTTATCCCAGCACCATGGTGTGTCCTGAATATGTTGCTTTAAGAAACTAAAAAACCAATAAAATTTGTTTAAAAAAAAAGATAATGTCATTCTATAAAAGCAAAGGGTCCGCCCCACGCAAAAATGTTCCTGTGGGCTGAGCGATGGCGCATGGAACATTGAATGGAGCTTTGAATATGGGGGTGGACACGGTTGACTGGCAGATATTTAACTATGGATTGCTAAAGGTCCGGTTTATTGCTGCTACAGTCTGTTAGATGCCAAGTTAACAATGCTTCTTCCTCCACAGTTTTGAGTAGTAATGGATATTGGATCAACTGCAGTAGCCTTTGCATCCTGCCTGGTTTAATTTTTTAGTATACTTTTATTAAGCATTTTAAGAAAAGAAAAAAGAGGATAAAAAAGCAATACGGACACCCTGGCATTTTTACAAGCTTGGAATTTTTCAACCTTTCATGATTTACTTGTAAAGAACTCAGCATCTTGGCTTCCTTTTAAAAACTACAAATCATAGTCTCTAAGACGCTAGACAGACTAGAAATACCAGGCACAGCAGTAAGCATAATTTGAATGATAAATAGGGTTATAAATTACAATAAATTCTGCCCATGCCTCTAAAGGCCTGTTCTATTTAAGAGAGCCTGTAAAACTGAAATAGTAGGACTTTGTGCAAAGACCAATCTGAATTTTGGATACTGTAGGACAATGATGGCGAACCTTTTAGAGACCGAGTGCCCAAATTGCAACCCAAAACCCACTTATGCATCGTCGGGTGCCAGGTGGGTGTGGCCCATTGGCTGGGTGTGGCCCATTGGGTGGGCGTGGCTGTTGTGGTAATGGCAGACTGGCTGGGACTAAAAAGTTCAATCAATCAATTCCAACTTTGCAAGATCTTTTTTTTCCCGCGAGAAGGTGAAATTGACTGATTGATTGAACCTTTTTTTTTTTTTGCACAGGGTGGCAGAGGCCTAAAGCGAAAAGGTTTTATAAAACCCAGCTGAAGGCCTAGGACTGGGGCGACGGCACGCGTGCCTACAGAGAGGGCTCTGAGTGCCGCCTCTGGCACCTGTGCCATAGGTTCGCCACCACTGCTGTAGGAGAAGAGTTCTGTCTATGATAACAGAAAAGAAATCAAGAGTCCAATATGCAAATTATAAATTTTATTAAGGAGCATCAGCTTTCCTGCGCTGCATTTCCCATCATTTGCCTTAGAACAGAAGTCTCCAAATTTGGCAACTGTTAAGATGTGTGGACTTCAACTTCCAGAATTCCTCAACCAGCCATGCTAACATGCTGGCTGGGGAATTCTGGGAGTTGAAGTCCACACATCTAAAAGTTGCCCAGTTTGGAGACCCCTGCTTTAGAATATAAACTGGAATGAGAAGGGTGGGGACGATAGGTTGGTTATACAGATGCAGACACAATAGGGTTTTAGCACACTACAATTGTTAATTGATGCAATGCTTGTAATCAGTTGTAAGATTTTTATCTTGGGTTAAGTAAGGGAGGTGAGAAAGAGAGGTAGTAGCTAGCTTTCTCAATGGTTTTGGGAACGAATCAAGGAAAAAAATATTACATTAATATCAGCATAATTAAGCTGACAACAATTTTCACCATCTGCTGCATTAAACTTTGCAATATAATGATAGTTGTTGGAGGCAAACCAAGATTCCTAGGGCTACAAGAGCCCTCAAACTGCTCTGCCATAATATAGGCTTGTTAGGTTTAGCAGGTTGAGTAAAACCAGCACTATGGTTTGGAACTATGGTTTACGGCTAGAACCCTGGGCAAATCCAATCGTTTATTCAGCAATCCATAGCTAAAACATCTTGTGTGGCATAGAAGCGAAGGGACCTTATTGTGCTTATGATTTCATTATGCTTGAGCTTGATATTAGTAGTGTTATTTTGTAGCCGTTTTATATATATTTTTTTATATGCAAGGAGCCTTATAGATAGAAGCACGTGTTTCATGTATATTGAGAAAGTGAATGTCTCATACTAAATATACAGGAGATTGTTTACATCAAAGGAGCAAGGTATAAGATTCAGTGGTCCAAGAAATAGAGAGGGGGAAGGTGAGTTAGCCTGGATTGATGTGTATAATTCATCACCTTGGATTTTGTTTTTCTGTGCTTCCTTGCTCCTGGTACAGAGACTTGAATCTCTTTGTTTCTGAAAAGGTATCAAAAGTGGAAGAAGTCTCTTCTGGGTGTGCCTTTGTCCCTCTAAGCCAGGGGTGTCAAACTCAATTTCATTGAGGGCCGCATTAGCATTGCGGTTGCCCTTGGGGGGCCGGGGATGTGTGGCCAAGGTGGGTGCGGCCTACTGGGTGGGCGTGGATGGAGTGGGTGTGGCCTACTGGTTGGGCATGGCCAGCTCTACATCGTTCGCGTCAAGGGTGCCTGTGGGGGCCTGGGCAGGAGTGGGACAGATCTGAGGGTCTCTGGCAGAAGGGGGTGGGACCGCGGCAAGTGCCAAGGCATGGTCCATGTCTTCATTCCTCACAAAGGGTGACACCTCCCCAGCATGCACCCAGGGGACAGGGCCAACGTGGCAGGGGCTGGTTCCTCGCTGTTTCCAGATGGCCTTTGGAGCTAAGACTGAATGCCTTTCAGCGTAGATGGCCACCACAAAATTGTACATTGGCTCCCGGCCGGCCTGGGCCAGGGCCAAGGCAGAGGGGGCCGTTCCCTCACTGTTTCCAGGACGGCTTCGCGGGCCACATGAAACCACTTCGCGGGCCGCATCTGGCCCCCGGGCCTTGTGTTTGACATGTCTGCTCTAAGCAGCCACGAAGAGGGAGAAGGCTACCCAACTCTGTCTTGGCCAAAATAAAGTTGCTTTCTTTGCTGAAACCTCAGCTCAGGAGTTTCTTTTGGCTCTTTGAAATTCCTGAGTAGCCCAGAGGAGTTTGTGAGGCTAGGTGGAAAACCTTACAAAAGCCAGGATCAAAAATGAAGGCATGTTTCAAGCAGACGTCCTGATTTTGATGTCTTCTTCTTCAGATGTGTTGGACTTCAATCCCCATAATCCTCAAGCTGTGGATGAACAGAACTGAAATCCAGCCTATCTGGAGGACATTCAAGAAGACTGGCTTGCAACAAGCTTTAGCGTCTACCCTTTCATTTTTATGGATATCCTTCCTGTCATTTCTTCATGGTCTCTGACCAACTCACCTGCAAGATGTAATTCTTCCAGAGAAGAAGCCCAAACTGCCGTAACACAACCATCTTTTCACTTGGAACGGGAGGACCAACGTTCTCTAATTCTGTGGAAAAGCAATATTGGAGCCATAAGATAAAAATGCAAAGCAAATCCACCATCAAAGAGCCATTTAATGGAGGGATAATTTGGATATCAACCCTATTTGTTAACAACCATACTGTTGTCCTGGAGCAAAAAAAACCCTGTAAAATATAAACTAGTGGTTCACAAAGACAGAATATCTATATATTACACAAGTTGGTATGTCCATGTATGTTACATCATATAAGAATCAATATCTATCTATCTATCTATCTATCTATCTATCTATCTATCTATCTATCTATCTATCTATCTATCTGTCTATCTATTCATCCATCCATCCATCCATCCATCCATTCATCCATCCATCCATCCATCATCAGTAATAAATAGATAGGTCGGTGGGTAGGTAGACAGTAGATAGATAGATAGATAGATAGATAGATAGATAGATAGATAGATAGATAGATAGATAGATAGATAGATAGATAGATAATAGACAGTAGATCGATAGATAGATAAGTAGGTAGGTAGTAAATAGATAGATAGGTCGGTGGGTAGGCAGTAGATAGATAGATAGAATCTATCTATCTATCTATCTATCTATCTATCTATCTATTCATCCATCCATCCATCCATCCACCCATCCATCATCTATCTATCTATCTATCTATCTATCTATCTATCTATCTATCTATCTATCTATCTATCTATCTATCTATCTATCTATCTACTGTATCTATCTATATCTATCTATCTATCTATCTATCTATCTATCTATCTACCTACCTACCTACCTACCTACCTACCTACCTACCTAATCTGTCCATCCATCAGGAGATGTAAAGATGTTTTCTGGATCCCCTTCAAGTGCCACATAGAACATCCTTGGGCAAAATGAGGGAATGAATAATCTTATAGCTAAAGATGATGTGCATAACCACCGATTTCATTAAAGGAGATTCATATTTGGAAACTTCTAATCTATGGACAATGTAGTCCAGATGTTTTAGGCTTCATGTCCCAATGGCTGAATCCAACTAGGGAAATGACAAGTGATGGTGGGAAGCCCCAAATTTCTAAGGAGACATCTAGCTGCTCTATTCAGTTGAACTTCAGTGATGAAGCAGAACTTTGCAGTGGTAAGTGCATATTGTATGAAGTCATTGTAGTTAGTTTGATTTTGATTTAAGATGTTGGGCAAGCCCGCCTGTTCTGAGCCCATAAACCAAGATTTATCATGGAGGTGGCACCAATTTTTTTGACATAGACAAATGAGCAACTTGGACCATCCTGCTGAAATTTGATGGGCAAATTGTAATTTTTGGTAGTGTACTATAGCCTTTTTCTTATGATTTAAGATTAAACAAGGGTTGTATCCCAACTTTGTATTATATATATATATAAACAATTATTCCATAACTAAAAGAAAAAGTTGAGATTTTGAGCCCACTTGGACCAGCAACCTATTGTGATTAAATTTATTATAACAATAGCTTTGGAAAGTGAAAAAAAAAAATCAAATCAAACCCACGTTACGGTCACAGTCCAGCATAAAAAGAAGAATAAATGAAATGCAGCTGCTCATGGGAAAAAAATTAGCTCATTATTGTGTGTTGTGCAAATCCAGCATTATTTTTCCCCCTAATTTCCTATTTCTTTTAAAACTATATAAATATTAGAAATACAATTTTAAGTCGTGGATTTGATACACACAAAAAGAAGCAGAAATCAATTTTCTCTTTCTATCCAGTTGTTTTGGGCAAAGCACATAATGTGTCCCTTTCACCGTAAGATATATTTGTTCTAGTAGAGAACACGGCATATAGTACTTTCAGCCAGATTATCTGTTCTCGCCCTGACTCTGAACACAAAAGTGTTATTTTGACTCCACTACAATCAGAGAACTCTTTTGTTTCGTTTTTTTTTCCACCCAGAAGGCCAAACAATCACTCATGAATTATACAGTTAGCCTTCAAAAACTAAGCATCTGAAGTTCTTAACTGCAGCCAACTCATGCCGAATTCAGCTTTGCAACTTGAACCTTTGGATCATAAACTACACACAAGCCAGCTTCACTGCCATAAGCAACCAGCAAGGAGAAAGCAAGCGACACCAACACAATTCCGGTAGGAGGAACCCGATGTTGGTGGTGTGAGGAACATCTGCACATGATGTGCACATAAGAATTACTTTGTCTCTGCCCAACAGTTATGATCTTGCAAACGTACAAGGCTGGACGCTCCCGTGATCAAATTTTTCTCCTCTTCTTGGTTTCTTTGACACTAACTTTGTTCCAAAATCCAGGTTTTGGCCTAGAATAGCGGTTCTCAACCTATGGGTCGCGACCCCATTTGGGGTCGATCAACCATTTCACGAGGGTCGCCAAGCAAGGCTGTCCGCCATTTTTTTTCCCCTTTTCCGGCGGGTGCCTTACCTCCCTTGGGCTGGGCCAGCTGGTGGTCGGCCTGCTCCGTCTCTGCCGCTTGCCAGCTACGCCTCGGCCGGCGCAGGGGGCGGAACCACACATGCGCGGCACTCCCAGGCAGGGAAAGTCCTTGACTTACGACCAGTTGGGTAGTCCTCGACGTACGACTGGTTTAGTCCTCGACTTACGACCGGTTGGGGGTCGCGGCATTAAAAAGGTTGAGAACCACTGGCCTAGAATCCCATCGCTTTTTCTAAACGTTGGTTTCCTTCAACCTGGCTGATCTCCTGCAACTCTTTGCTTCAGAGTGACCTCCCAAACTTGTATTTCAACAACCTTTAAGAACCAGGATGGAAAAAAATTTTAGATGTGCTCAGCAGCCTACAATTTATTGAGGTGTGTAAATACTATTAAGAGTTCAAGACAGGCTTCGTTGCTGAAACGGCTTCAAATACCAAACTCAGAAGCAAAGAAAGTTAGAAGGAAAAAAACATAAATGCTAAGAAGAAAGGGAGGAGAGATTAAGGAACAAAGCCCTTCTGAGTGAGTACTTTTCCATCCACAGCCAAATATCCCCTGGACATCTAATCCTAAAAAGAAATCGATCCTCACAAGATTAAAATTGAACCCAGGCGGGGCAAATTTAACTATTCCAACTACTCTGTCTTTCTGATCTTTGATCACCATCTCCTACGCCCTGGTTACGTGGTACATCAGATATGAATAGACATTTAGCATTTCTCCAAGCTTTCCTGATTATTTTTAAAAACTGTTTGGGGCAAGCTGTGTGCACCAGACTCTTAAGTAAATGTCAAGACGTGTGCAATAATACACAAAATCATACACCACTGAGGATTTGGCCGTCTGTTGGGGAACCTGGTTAATGATGATCAGTCTTAATGACTGGGCACAGGCTGCAGGCCCCAAGGCAGTCTACTTCTACATACTAGGTGTAGCATAGTGTAATGTAAGAAAAGGAGATCTTGGTCTTTTTTTTATATATATATGTGTCTTCAACCTCCATACTTCCCAATACATGATGGAATCTGTAGTCTAAAACATCTGGAAACTTGGCTGCTTTAAGATTTGACTACTGTAGTTGTTGACTACAACTCCCAGAATCCCCCAGCCAGCAGTATGCTTAAATTCAGACACTGTTCTACTATACGCCACTTCGCAGGTTAAATCATGCGATACCTGGCTGCATTTTTTCTCCATTCCTCCCAATATTTGGACAAAAGCATTTCAAAATTTTGGTTTTTTTAAAAAAAGCTGTTCATCTTTTCACAGCTTCCACTACCCAACCTTGTCTAATTATACAACCATTTTCTCGTGCAAACAGCTCCTCTTAGTCAGTCAAGTCTCTTTCTGGTTCCCCTTCCTTTCCAAGAGTGATTAATGGCACAGGAAGACAGACAGGCAGAGACACCTTAGAAAAGGGACAACGTCATGGTTGCAGTGTTGCTTTAGCCCAGATTTATTTCGTGTATTCATTAATCAAACTTAGGCACTGCCCATCTTTATTGTAAAGCCAGATACAAGCTTGCATCTCTGATCTTGCCAAGGTTCATTCCTACCCTTCAAACTTCCCTCTAAAAAACTGCCCATCAAAAAGAAAGTAGCTTGTTTGTGTTCCGTTGAAACAGGCTTCCAACTTAACATGCTTCCAACTTTGCTTCCACACCAAATAAGTGTGAAAACAAAGGCGGGGGGGTGGGGGGGAGGAAATCTCTAATTATCTGGATTAGGGCAGGAGAAGAAATACACCCTTCTTAAACAAAGGCACAAGGTGACCTGTATCAAAGAACATTTTGCAAACAAGGAAGCTTACACGGTGTTGTAATTATCTCACACCATCGGGAGGGTGTACCACACACCCATGAGGTTGATTGCGGTATCTGAAGAACAAGAGGA